CCAGTTCAGTTTTTTTCAAACTTCCTGAAGTCACAGAACCCCTTCATATCACTTCTGCCATGGAGCCCCTACCACTATCTGTAAAGCCAGGAAACCTGACCTGACAATGGCAACACACTGCCTCCTGGCCCACTCTATTACCCCAATCTTTTTGCAGAACCCCTGATAACCTCATACAACACCAGGGTTCTGAGGAACAAAGTTTGAAAACCACTGAACTAGATGACTTCTGGAGGTCCCTTCCAGCCCTACTTTTCTATGATTCTATGAAAGCCAAGCCAAGACACAGAAACATGCTCTCACTTTAGCAAACATGCAAGACAATCATGTACTGCAGTGACAGGTTCAGCATAAGGACAGGTAACATGAAAAACAGTGACAGCTAGCCCAAGTTCATTTCAAATAAGGACCAAAGTACTGAAAGTAGGTGAGTTTCCACTAATGCTAATCTGAGAGAAATGGGGGTGGTGCCCCAAGGAAACTCACATACGAATAACCATGCCCATGACTCAAAGGAAATTCTGACCCTCAGTGCCAATGATTATCATGTTTGTATTTCCTGAGATAACCAAACCCCGCCTCTCCAGACAAGAATTGCAATCTGCTTTGAAACTACAAGAACTACCCAGTAGATAGGAAACTCTGGCATGGAACCCATGGATGGTGCTTCTCTCTCTGCAAGATGCCCCAAAAGACAAGGATGGAGGTAAATAAGGGCTGGCAATTAATGGATGTTTAATTGCCAAGACCAAAACAAATGAGATGGCAGCTTGGCTGGGGAAGGGAGCAACAAACATACTGAGCTGTAACTACCTCAGGATTCTGGAGTGGCCAGTAAGGATGAATGAGTTGTCATGAATATACAAAGGCACCAAACTACATTTTGTCAAGACAATATCTGTGAAAGGTGAGGTTCAGTAGAAGTCCAAATTATCTTCAGAATCGAAGGACACTGAAAACAGGACTGAAACAAGCTCTGGAGAATAGGACCAACCTGTTTTAAGTGCAGGATTATGGGGGTGCAAAGAAAAGGAACATAGAAATGGGCAAAATGACCCATAAGGCCCTTAACTGCTAGGGAGCATCCAGGAGATGCAGTTTTCACGTTGTTCCTCCTTTCAATACAACTGAGCTGTGGGGGGCAGGGTAGAATAAGCTCTGTTTCTCCCTTTATTTTCACTCAAGCCAATACTGCTTGCTCAGCCTCTCCCCCAACACAGGAAGAATTTGCACTGATTAGTTGAAGGATCATGTGGCTTCTTCTAATCCGGTCCTTAAATTAAAATGGGATTTTTCAGCCCAAAATCAGGATGGCCCAACAGGCAGCAGGACAACATGCTGGAAAGATGCAATGGAGAAGGATCCCTGATCAACACATAAGTAAATGCAAACACCAGTCTACCTCCTATGCCCTGTGCTCAATGTGGCCATCACAAGGGTGATGAGGGCTGGAGGGCCCTGGATTATAGCTCTGAGGGGATGGGTGTCCAGGTGCCGAGGGAGTAAACTCTCTCACCCCCTGCTCTGCACAAGGGCTGCCATTCCCAAAACAAACACAGCACTTGCACTTTAGGGGGGCGCTGCATTTATTTGACCCCAAGAATTCATGAAAGACATGCTTGAGGGACTTGAATTCAGAAAGACTGAAAAAGCAAAAGCAACCGGAGAGGCTGGTCTTGTGCAACTGCCCCACCTGTCCTGTAAATTACACCCTTATCACCACATGGAACCTTCTGTTTTAACGTCCTTTACAACATAAAATTAAACAACTTCAGCTGACCTACAATTAACTGGGTCTGCCCAAGCATTTCCACTCTCCGTAAACCTGCTCATCATTGCAGGTGTTGGTCTGATCACACACTAAGGCTTTCTAGTGTATATCTCTCCGATAAGAAGCCTGGGTGGGGGAGAAGGAGGAAGTGAGAGGGGAGAAAGAGGGCAGCAGAAGAGCTCTTCCTGCTGATGCAATTGATCACAAGTGTCCGGACAGGCTCAGGACCAATAGCAGAAGTGAATTTTCTTGGGTCAGCTTCTACCATCCCATTAACAATGGTTGCAGGGAGTGGGGAGTTGCTATTCCCCAGGAGCATGTGGAGATGCCAGTCAGGGACTGAAGGGCAAATTGTGGCTGCAAACACCAATTTTTCTGCACATACTGCTACACCACAAGGCCAGAACCAATCAATTAGCCCACAAGAGGAGATCATCTAGCCCCAAAAAGCAGAGCATTGACACTCTGTAATCACTGCCTTGGGCGAAATTGATACTGAAGTCTCTCTGATAAGCAGGTGCTCAGTGCCCTGGTGTTGGGGATTCAGAAGGCAACCAGTCATAGTAGGGAACAACTGAATAAGCAGTTCCCCTGCCAATCTAAGCAGGTCATCTCTCAAAACTCCCCAACTCCTGCCTCTTTTGCATGTGCTAGAGAGCACCTCCTGTCAACTGCTCTTTCAGCTTGACAGTTTTTTCTGATGAAAAGGACCAGGAAAGGAAGCAATGTCCTGCCCTACTCTCTCCACTTCCCCACTACCACTTGCCATTTTACCATGCTAAGATGCTGCCTACAGCACTAACCCCCTCCTATTACCCTTAACATCAGTCAATATTCATGGCTCCTCCAGTCCAACACTTGGTTCAAGCAATAAAACCCATCTAGGAAAAACTCTTGCACTCAGCAACAGCAAATCACTTTCTAAACATGTTTCTTAGTTGCTCCTCCATCCCCAGCTGCAAGGAGTCTGCTGCACCCTATTTGTTATGCTTAGCAGATGCTCAACACAAGAGCAGCCAGCAGTTGAGGAGAGAGGAGACATCCCTGGTAGGAAGAAAAAAAGTGAAGCCTCCCTTCCAGGCAAGGAAGAGCAGAGGAACTGAAGCTGGGCAGACACCAAAAAGATCTCCCTTCTGCCAGCCTTGGCTAGTCTATATTTGATGTTTCTGAGCCCAGCTATCCCAAGCAGCAGATTAATCTTTGCTCCATGCCTGAAACTTTCAGCTACCCAACCCCCAACCCCAATTTCAAAGGAAAGAAGGAGAAATTCTCAAGTCTCAGCAAGATTAAAAGCAGATGGGGCCTGCTGGCCACCCAGTAGCAGCTCCAGAACTAAGTAACCCTCTGCTGAAAAACATGGGCAGGTGAGCACCTTTCCTCTTGCTCACTAGTAGAACCAAGCCCCAAAATAAGGAAGATTTCATTTCACCGCAGTAATTGGCATTTCTAATACTGCAATAAGAGTTCCAATACTCCTGGATTCCCTTCAGACACTGAAAGGAAAAACCAAAGGTGGCTTAACCAAAAGAAGGGCTTCAGCAAAGAGATAACATCTTACCACTTTAGCCATAAGCATCTGCAGCACATATTAATCACCACACACACACACGCTTTTCCCTCCTGCCCCCCTGAGCTTGAACTGCTCAGAAGTCACATGCATCTTGCTGTTTTACTGAGCAGGGTTACAGAAGCTGTCTGTCTCATTCACTGTGGTTTGGAGCCCCAACAGTCAGTACAGCCAAGGCCGCATCCTATATGCATCATGTGAGATACAACAAGTCAAGATGCTAAAGTGCAGGCAAACTACTCAGCATAGCACCAGGTATAACCAGCTCAGGCCACACACACACCTCTGAATCAAGACCTACTTCCAAAAATGGGAGATGAAACAGGCATAGCAACAGCTCACACAACACTCATCCTTTCCAGCTGCCTGGGGATCCTACTTCTGCCTGCCTGCTGTCAGATCTAGATTGTTCAGCTCTTAGCTTAATGAGGTTTTTACCCTTGACAAATTGAATCCAGACATAGTCCATGGCCTCTCTGAACTAAGACCGAGTGGGGGGAGGGGGCATAGTCCCAAAGAAACATTACCATGTGGCATAATTATGACCTAGTTTCCCTTATATGAACCAGCACAATTACATGCCAACATATACCCACAACCTAGGCCTGCCAGTGCAAAGCAAGAGTATCTGACATTAGCCTTGGTGGCCCGGCTTTAGGCATGGCTATTCCTCAAACAACGGGTAAATTGGTCTCTCTCTAGGGACACTGAACCCTTCATACCAGCCAAGGGCAAGAGTGAGATTAACTGCAGTGGGAACGAGTCAAACAGGGAAGGACAGTGCAGTGATCAAAGGCTGTTCCTGTCTGGACCTTCCCTTAGCAAGTCAAGACTGTAATTCTTTAAGTATGATATGCTGACTCCATTACCTTTCCATGATCTAACAAGCTTCTTGGGGCTCTGATTATCCCGCACCATTCACCCCATACAGAAGTCCCATGTAGCTACTGCTCACATAGGACAATGGTCTGAGGCAGAATGGCCAGCAAGATTTGTGAGTTACTCCAAATATCCAAAGACAGGAGTATAAGAGTGATGCTGTAGCCATAATGGTCCAGAAATTGTGCAAGACGCAAGGATTTCTTAGGATGATATCTTTTATTGAACCAACTGTATAGCTGAGACAAAATTGGACAAGGTTTTTTTTGAATGATAAACATTCTTCATCAGATCTAACTTTATCCCAAGGCCAGCTGGTCCTATGAAAGATACCATCCTAAGAAAAACTTGACTCTTCAAAGACAGGAGGACACCAGACCTGCAAAGAATGGGGGACGAAGGAATGCAAGGCACCTTGCCAGGGCTCAGTGTGCTCCATTTTCTTTGTCTTGCCTTCACAATGACTGGGAAAACCAAACAAAAGGGATATGGATACTGAGGTGCTGGGTCACAGGGAGGTGGCAACAGATTTTAGAGACACTCTGATGTGACTGAGACCTGGAGTCCAGAATTCATATTCCAGAAAACCACAACTTTCCTCAGCAGGTACCTGGCAAAATATTATCTCTTGTACTAAGACATGACATCCCACCCTCCATCCTACCCAGATTCCACCTCTTCCTAGCCATGTAACCCTGGGCCACTTTGTTGACGTGTCAGTTTTTCTCCCTCCCATTTCCCCCCCCCGGCAAAGATACTGCTTTCATTTCATATGAGACTCACGTGAAGGCAAAGAAGAGGGTGGTGGCTCCCACTAGGAAGATGGCAGCAGCAGAGACTGGGACGTATTTGCTGGGTTTAAACCTCTTTCCAGATGCTGCTGGCATGTTGGAGCTCTGGTGGAGAATCTGCCCTGCAGCATAGCCCAGGCCCAACTGGAATCAGAATGGATATGAAAAGGGGGGGAAGGGATCTTCAGAAGGGAAGGGAGAAGGGGGGCTCACAGGGAAGGTGGGAGGGAAAAGTTAGGGGAAGAGGGGGCAAGCAGTTACCCAACTTCCTGAAATACACTTAGAGAGTTCTCAATGGAGCAGAAGACACAAGACCATCCAGAAAGAGCCACAGAAACTCCAGAAGGTAGAGATCCAAGACAACAGCTAAAAAAATACACTGTGCCCCCGCAAGAGTTTGGGGGGATAGAGGAGATTTTGTTTTTTTAAAGGTTGGGGGGTAAACTCCAATTTAAAACACTATTGAGACAGAGATGTCCTTGGCTGCCCACATCTGTCCTGAGCCAGGCCACTATAGTGCAAGAAGTAGTTCGCTGAGCAGCTGGTAGTGAGGACTGGTTTCACCCTGGAGGCAAGAGTAAAACAAAGGCTAGGGAAGGTGGCAACTGAAACATACAGAACTCTGTGGCACATGGAAGAAAGCTGAGCTGGGTGAGTCTTTTATGCCCTTGTGAAGGTATCCAGCCTGTCTTGGATTCCTCTGAGAAAAATCCGCACCAGAACACCAAGGAAGTCTCTTGTGTTTTTCCTTTCTAAGCTGCTCCTGAAGTCCAGTGGTCCCTTCTGGTCACCACTCTCTGGAAGGAGATTCTGCTTCTGCCAGTCTTCCTAACACCACTTTGCTTCCTCCTGCACTTTAATACAAAGACAGTCGCAGAAACATTCTTCCCAATTTCACCAGGATCTGGAACTGTCTATCTAGCGGTGGTTGTTTAATTTTATTTATTTCCTCTCCTGACGGGTAAAGCCAGGCAACAGCTGGTGTGAGGTTGAGCTGTAAATCCTTTTCTTTATAAGGGGGATTGGAGGCCAAGGTCCATTGGCTTGTGTGTTTTTTTGTCCTCCTCCTATTCGTTCCCTCGTGCTTGACACCCAAAACACTCCGGTAGGTCTTGTTTCCTCTTGGCTTTAGGAATAAGCTTGAATTTCCAATCCCTTCTGTAGCAACTGTCTCTAGAAAGTGCCTAAGTGGGGTGAAGGAGGGCAGACTTGAAAGGAGAGATTTCAGAGAACTCTTAAAACTCCAAAAGGCAACTGATGATTAAAACAATGCTGACCAGACCTTTTTCACCCATGGCCCAAGGGTCTCAGTCTCTTCCAAGTCGATCCATTTCTTCCTCTCCCCCCCAAAAATAAAATAGTTCCTCATTAATCCATATTGTTAAAACAAACAAAAACAAATCTAGATAAAATAATTAAAAATTGACATCTGGAGCTTCACAGTTTCACCTAGAAAACACAAAAAAAAATTGAATTAAGAGATGAGAGAAAGTGGCTATTTAAAACACTTAAGAAAAATAATGCACCTTTTATCTTAAAGGTTTTGTATACATGTTATTTTCAAGAGGGAAATGTGGTCTAGTTGTGATTTTAGAACAGGGTTGGAGAAGAGGGGTCAACAGATGTTGAATTCTAAGCCCAGCTCTGACAGAGGTGTTGTGTAGCTTTGGGCAGAACACCCAAATGTCCTTGAGCCTCAACTTCAACATTTCCAAACTGGGATAACATCATCATTGTGAAGAAGGTTCTCATTCCCTAATAACTACTTACCTTTGGGCCTTTTGTATTCCTTTTCACCTCCCATATCTTTTATAACATTTGCTAATTCACCACTCTCAGGTAAGAGCAGTCCCCAGTTTATTGTGAATAAAACAGAGGCATATGCAGGTTACTCAATTTTCATAAAAATCAGAGAAAGTCAGCACCAGAATTGAGATTAGAATTCAGGAGCCTCTGGCTTCTTCCCCTATGTTCACATCTCTTCATAAAAAGTTATTACAACTGCAGGAAAATGACTTTTCTGGAGATACTGCTAAGGGGGATAGTCCTTGTTAGTCTGCTTAGTTTATGTGAAGGTGGTATGACTTATGATTTACCTTAAATAGGTATATCAGATTTACGTGATGTAAACAGAAAAACCAAACATCTCTCTGAAAACAAAATCAGGACATAGCAACCTGCACAAGAACCCAAGAGCCGGTGAGGCCACCAGAGTGCAGAAACAACCTGGGTACAGATTATGTTTCATTGATTATTGTTGTTATAGTAACTCTGCTCAGTTCCAACTTTATTTGTAGTATGTTCTCCACTCCACTGCCTCAGTGTTTTATCATGAAGCCCCCATTGCATTATGTATCAAAGAACAGAGTTATTTTACTATTCTAATTTCACCATCTTTTGCTTCTCACACACACTGTCCTTAGGTGAATTTCAGTGCTGATTAAAAGCATCAGACCAACTTTTCAGGAGATAGGAAGAGAAGTGCAGTACAACATTAAAGATGCACTTCATTTTTACAGGTAATTATAATAAGCAGGAAGTCAAGATATTGGCTACCAGGGCTGACAAAAACTCTACCAGTGAAGGGAAGGTTTGGCTGAAGCCAAATCTAAACTGAAGGTTTTAAAAATTATATTTTTGGCCTACACTGTTGAACAGACACTTAACCAAAAAGGGATTTGTGCAGGGCAGCTACTTTTCAGGCTGCTACCAGACACCTCTAGTTTCACTCCCCTGCTGTTCCGCCCTCTCCCAAGCACCAGGCATGAAACTGACAAATCAGTCATTTTCTTTGCTGCTCTTAAGCACTTTTTGAGCAGAAGCAGCTCCTCAATTTCACTCACATGCTTCCCAAGGGAAGTTCTAAGCTGCAGGAGAGGCAAGCAATTTCCCCACAACTTAGAGAAATCCTAAAATACAGAAAAGAATGTACAGGAAAGGATTTCCAAGGGTGACACTTTTTACTGTATCAACTGCATGGTTAGGATAGACTTAGACAAGATTTCAAATATGGTTCATTCTTCTTCAGGTCATATCTACAGAAAAGTTATTTACAAAGTTAACCACTGCAACTGCATTACAGCAGACAGCACTAAGAACAGATGTTGCACTTACTGCAGGAGAAAGTGTAAGAGACAGTGATTTTAGGCTGAACTGAATCATCTCAGAAGTGCATTAACTCTAAAGTTTACCAACATCAATGGCAATCTTGGTAGCTATGCCACTGGGTCTGTAAAAGCAGTCAGCTAATGCACTTTTCTGTGATGAATAGCCCATTCGTCTGAAAAGCCATTCCACAGAAATAAGGCTGTATCTCTGAAACTTGCATAAGCAAGGATGGCATTCTGTCCAACTGGAGGAGTTCCCATTTTCAAGATCCTCAGAGCAGTCTTCACCCTCGAGCCCTTGCGTCAGTGTTCTGCTTTATCAAGACAGATATATCCCAAGGCCACCCAGGCTTCAACCTGCATTCAGCAAAATCCTTTGGCTTCCCACCCAGACAATTTGTACAGGATTGTATAGCAACTCAAGCCTCAACTGACTCTACCCATATTGCTCTTAAACCCAAACTTAACTGTGCACACTGGGTTTCAAGCTGAGTACTCTACCTCCTGTACCAGGTGACATGGCATGCTCAAGGACTGGCCAGGGCCCAGGCTGATCCAAATACAGACAGACAAGGCAAGGAGAAATGTAGCCTGCAAGCTCCTCAGATTTGACTGTTATTAGACAGCTGGACCATTTGACCATCAGAGAGCTGGAATTCTTCCAGTCACCAAGACACTACTCTCAGGTCTAAGGAAAGCTGAAAAGGTTAGAGCATGGCCAGGGTCCTACGATACAGTTTGGAGGAGTTTGGTGGGCTCCTATAACATTCAGTTGTCAGACGGCAGCTCATTTAACAACCTATCTTTGAGTGACCTTCCTGGTAATTGATAGCAGTATCAGATGGCATCAAATGGAGATGCAAAGCTGAAGAGTCCATAAACCCATCCCCTGAAACCCCACTGATCTAAGCTAACTCTATAATGACTACACTGACACACGTAATTTCTTGTTCCAACACCCTCCTGTCAACTGGTCTACCAGCAGCTGATTAACCTGCCCCTTTCTCTCCCCTTTATCTTTAGCCATCCGGTTCCTTTATATCCAGCTACCTGTGCCCTGCCTGGCACTCTTAATAACTGAACATTCAGCGCTCTCTGCTCTTGTCCCCTAGATCTTACGCCTCAAGCCTAATCTCACTCTTTGCACTCTGCCAAATCACCCCCACTAAGGTCTATAGCCACCTTTCCTTCCTCTCCAAGACCAGGGCCTTTCTCCACTGATGACTCCATTTTCCCTGCCTCAGGATTTCCTGAATCTCCCACACTGCTGAGACATTTTCAGTGTTTGTCCTGGTGGCTCCTCGTACTCCCCTCTCCCTCTCTGCTGGTGGCTGCCACAGCTCTATTCTTTGCTCTCAGGGATTCACCACTACCTTGGGAGGATCCTGAACAGCCTCCCGTTTTTGCACCTACTTTCTTGTCTCTTCTGGCTCTTCAGCTCCTAATATTCTTTCCCTGGTCTGCTCTGCTGCCTCTCTCTTTCATCCTTAGTGGCAATCCATGACTGCCCTTGTACGTCAGACTCACCCACATTGCCATCTTGGTCTCTACCCTCTTTCTTCCTGCTTGGGATCCACCCTTTCCTTGCCATCTGCTCTGTCCAAGCCTTTGATCATCTCATTTATGTCACCTTGTCCCAGGCCACTCCAAAGTCTGCCACCACCATCCATCCTGCTCTTTTATATCCTCCATTTTCAGTGAAGCTCCTTTCCCTCACCTGAAAAACCCAGTCTAATCTTACCCTGCCAA